GATCCAGAGGCCACTTTCCTTCCCTAGCCCTTTAGTTAGAAAGCCAGAGGCAACCTTCATATCCTAGCCCATCAGCCACAGATTCAGAGGCCTTTTTTCTACCCTTGCCCATTAGCCAGGAAGCCAGAGGCCACCTTCCTGTCCTAAGAATTAGCCAGAGAGACAGAAGTCATCTTCTTTCCCAGTTCATTAGCCAAAGAGAGAGAGGCCATTTTCCTTTCCTAGCCCATTAGCCAGGGAGCTGGAGTCCAACTTGCTTCCCTAACCATTAGCCAGAGAGCAAGAGACCACCTTCCTTCCCTAAAATATGAGACACCGGCAGAAGCCGCCCTGGCTCTCTGGCGCCATTAGGCTAGGGATCAAACTTGGCCTCTGGCTAGTGGGCTAGGGAACATAGGTGGCCTCTGTCTCCCTGGCTGATTGACTAGGGGAGGAAGCTGGCCATGGCTCTCTGGCTATTGAGACAGGAAAGAAGGTGGTCTCTGGCTCTCTGGCTAATGGGCTAGGGCTGTAAGGTGGCCTCTCTCTCTCTGGATGATGAGCTAGAGAATGAAGGTGGCCTTTGGCACTCTGGCTAATGGGCTAGAGAAGGAAGCTGGCCTCCGGATGATGGGGTAGGCAAGGAAGGCAGCATCTGGCTCCCTGCTTAATGGATTAGTGGAAGAAGGTGGCTTCTGGCCTTCTGGCTAATGTCTAGGGAAGGAAGGTGCCCTCTGGCTCTCCGGCTAATGACTTAGGCAAGGCAGGCAGCCTCTGTCTCTCCTACTTATGGGCTTGGGAAGAAGGTGGCACCTGGGTCTCTGGCTAATGGAGTCAGGAAGGAACTTTGCCCTCTGTCTCTGCTGATCATGGGCTAGGGAAATGAAGTTTGCCTCTGGCTCTGACTAATGGGCTAGGGATAGAACATGGCTTCTGACTGTCTGGATAATGGGCTAAGTAAGTAAGGTGGCCTCTGGTGTCTGGTGAATGGCAAAGAAATGAAGGTGCCCTCTGATTCTCTGGCTGCTGCACTAGGAAAGGAAGGCGGCCTCTGGCTCTGTGGCTAACAGGCTAGGGTTGGAGTGTGGCCTGTGGCTGTCTGTCTAACGGGATAAGAAACAAAGGTGGCTTCTTGCTCTATGGCTGATAGGCTAAAGAGGGAAAGTGGCCTCTGGTACTCTTCCTAATTGGCTAGGCTAGGAAGGTGGCCTCTGGCTCTCTGGCTTATGGGCTAGGGAAGGAGGGAGGTTGCCTCTGGATATCTTACAGATTGTCTAGGGAAGGAAGGTGGCCTCTGTCTCTCTGGCTAATGCACTAGGAAAGGAAGGCGGCCTCTGGCTCTATGTCTAATAGGCTAGGGTTAGATGGTGGCCTCTGCCTTGCTGGATAAGGGGCTAAGAAATGAATGTGGCTCTGGGTTTCTGGCTGATGGGCTAAAGGAGGCCATGTGGCTGATGGCCTAATGAGGGAAAGTAACCTCTGTCTCTCTTGCTATATGGCTAGGTTAAGGAAGATGGCCTCTGGCTCTCCTGCTAATGTGTAAGAAAGGATGGTGTCCTCTGGCTGTCTTGCTTCCCTAGCAAGAGACTAGCCACTTCCTTCCCTAGCACAAGAGCCACCTTCCTTCCCTAGACAGGTAACTGGCTCCCTGGCTAATTGGCTAAGAAGTAAGGTTGCCTCTGGCTCTCTTCTTTCCCTCGCCCATTGAACAGAAAACCAGAGGGCACCTTCCTTCCCTATCCCGTCAGCATGACAGCCAGAGGACACCGTCCTTCCCTAGCCCATTAGCCAGGGAGACAGAAGCCGTCCTCCTTCCATAGCAAACTATACAGAGGCCACATTCTTTCCTTAGCCCATTAGCCAGAGAGACAGAGGCTGCCTTCCTTGCCTTCTGGCTAATGGGCTAGGGAAGGAAGGTGGCCTCTCTTTGATGTGATAGTTAAGGATTGTGGCCTCTGGCTAATGGTCTAGGGAATGAAGAAGTCATCAGTCTCTCTCGATAATGGGCTGGGCTAGACATAGAGGTCACCTTCCTTCCCTAGACATTTAGCCAGAGAGACACAAGCAAACGTCTTTCACTAGGTCATTATTCGGAGATCCAGGTGCCCCCTTCATTCCACAGCCCATTAGCCAGAGAGCATGACGCAAATTTCCAGAGTGCCCAGCACATTAGCAGGAGAGACAGAAGCCACCTTCCTTCCCTAGACCATGAGCCAGAGAGCAAGTGGCCACCATCCTTCCCTAGCCCGTTAGAGAGAGAGCTAGAGGTTGCCTACCTGACGTATATCATCTGCCACAGGCCACCTTCTTTCCCTAGACCATTATTCAGACAGTGAGAGACTGCTTTCTTCCCTAAACCTTTAGACAGTGAGCCAGAAGCCACCTTCCTTCCCTAACGCATTATCAAGACAGCCAGAAGCCACACCGTATCCCTAGCCCATTATTCAGAGGGCCAGAGGCAAACTTCCTTCCCTAGCCCATGAGCAGCAGAGACAGAGGAAAACTTCCTTCTTGACCCCATTAGCCAGAGACCCAGATGCCACCTTCTTACCAAGCCCATTAGCAGGAGAGACAGAGGCCGCCTGCCTTGCCTAAGTCATTAGCCAGAGGTCACCTTCCTTCCCTAGACATTAGCCAGAAGGCCAGAAGCCACGTTCTTCCGTACCTCATTAGTCAGAGAGCCAAAGGCCGGCTTCCTCCCCTAGCCAATCAGCCAGGGAGCCAGAGGACACCTATGTTCCCTAGGCCATTAGCCAGAGGCCAAGTTTGATTCCTAGCCTAATGGCGCCAGAGAGCCAGGACGGCTTCTGCCGGTCTCTAATATTTTAGGGAAGGAAGGTGGTCTCTTGCTCTCTGGCTAATGGTTAGGGAAGCAAGCTGGACTCCAGCTCCCTGACTAATGGGCTAGGAAA